TTAGAAAAGGCCTACCCAAGAGGATGGGTGTAGTTTGGTTATCATCTCCCATTTCCAGAACATAAAAATCAACAGGGAAAATCAAATTTTCTACTTCTACTAGCACATCTTCTACTACACCCTTCGGGTAAGTATTACACCGATCCGCTAGTTGAATCACTACACCAGTTTGATGTAGTGGGCCGAGTTGTAAGGATTTATATAAGGAATAAGGAATGACATTTATTGACGCTCCTAAATCCAACAAGGCCTTAGAAAATAAGGTATCCCCTATTTTGCAAGGAATAGTGAACATGCCTGGATCGCTACATTTCTCGGGGAGTTACTTTTTAAAAATGGCCGAGACGCGTTCACTCACTTCAACTTTTTGTTTCCCTTCCAGTTTATTTTTCTTTTTCATTGTGCATAGTTCCTTTAAGAACTTTGCATAACGGGGAACACTTTTGATCAGTTTGAAGAGTGGGATGTTTACCTCAGAATTGACGAATGTTTCGTAGATGTCCCGATCATTCTTCAGCTTCCTCGTGTCTTTCAATGCCTCAGGGAATGGAGGGAGTGGTTCATATGATGACAGTGGAGGAAATTTAGTATTCGTTGGCTTCTCCTCTTCCTGTTGAAAGCCTTCTTCAAGATCAACCTCTTGCTTCTCCTCCTCAACTTCCCGTGGTTGCAATTCTTTACCGTTCCTCAACATGATTGCATTGACGTGTTGTCTTGGGTTTGGCTCAGTTTGGGAGGGGAGCCTACCCGAATCTTTTGCTTCAAGTCGACTTACGACATTTGAAATTTGGCTAACTTGAGTTTCCAAATTTTGAATGCTCGACTTGGTTTCATGTTGGAATTGCATCATGGTTTGTTGGAATTGCCCCATGCTTTGCTGCATTGTTCCCATATTGACGGCCAACGCTCGAATCATGTCTTCGGTGGACATACTCGAGTTCGATGTTTGGCCTTGTGGTTTGTATTTTTGAGGAGGAGGATTTGTTTGAGAATTTCCGTACCTTAAATTCGGATGATCCCTCCATCCCGGGTTGTAAGTATTGCCTTGAGGATCGTACCTCCTTTGACCTTGGAACCCCAAAGCATTAACTTGCTCGGAGTTCTCTTCTTGTAGCGTTGGGCAAGAATCTGTGGGATGCACTTGCGTTGAACAGATGCCGCAGACCTTGACTTCTTGGGTTTTTGGATTTAAAAGGAAATCTTTAACCAAAGAAGTCAAGCCGGCTACTTGACTCTCCAACGAGTTGTTGGATTCCGCTGCCATGACTCGTTTCGATGACGACCTTCCGTTGTAATGTCTCAAGTTTTCGGCCAACTCCGAAATGAGGTCTCTTGCTTGAGAAGGGGTTTTGTTAACAATACTCCCTCCGCATGCCGCATTCACCATGCGTCTATCTTGATCAACAAGTCCATCATAGAAGTAGAGGATGAGATCTTGTTCTGAATACCCATGATATGGGCAACTAGCACATAATTTTTTAAAGCGCTCCCAATATTCATATAAGGTCTCATTATCCGCTTGCTCAATGTTGCTGATTTGCTTCTTGAGACCTGAAGAGATAGATGCGGGATAGTACCTGTCAAGGAAGCTCTTTTTCATTTGAGCCCATGTATTGATGCTCCCCGAGGGAAGATAAAATAACCAATCTTTGGCGGTGTCTTTGAGAGAGAATGGGAAGGCTCTCAGCTTGATTTGCTCCTCGGACACGCCATTGGGGCACATGCTTGTGCACACAATATGGAACTCTGACAAGTGTTTATTTGGATCTTCCCCTCGTAGGCCATGGAAAGAGGGAAGTAGATGAATGAGCCCAGATTTTAGCTCGAATATGACCTCCGTATCAAGAGTTGGAAAAGTGATACATAAGGGTTGTTGATTTAGATTCGGAACCGTGAGCTCCCTCAACGTTCTTGTTTCCAAATCCATGTGGAAGGACTCTTCGGATTCACTAGAATGAGAACTAGCACTTGATGATTCCTCCGAAGAAGTATTCAGAAATAGATTCCTGAATCTCTCGAAGGCTTGTTCTGTTTCGGGCTTTGTTTGGTAGGTGATTTGGTTTATAGATCGGTGTTTAACCATATACTCAAACAAAGCTCAGCCAAAATAGAAATCTTTAGATATAATTTTTTTTTTCTTGAAATAAAATAAAAAGAAAAATCAATTGCCTCTCCCCGTCAACGGCGCCAAATTTGACGAGCACTTTGTCACGGTGCGTCAAAATAAATTCAATACTAAACACTTATACGCAGTATAGCGTAGTAGAATTCGTATCCACAGGGAAAGGAATATTTCTCTTTTTATGATACTTAGTAAAAGGGGGAATTTGGATCGAGTGATTTAATTTAATTAAGAACTAAGATGAACAACCTATATGTGTTTAAGTCAAAGATAAAAAGGACTTGACATTGCTACTTTCCACTTGTTGATATATTTTAGTCGATCATTGTTATATCTATAACTTATTCCCTCTCGAATACTCAATCGGGGAGTATATCCACTTCATCGAGGGTAGTTATTAACAACAACCGTTCATTAATAACCCTTACTATTAATCAAATATAGAACAACGCCTTATACCGATTTAATAGTAGCATTTAATCTTTCTAACTCCTTGATGAAATCAATTGAGATTGATAACCTCAACACAACGGTTTCGGTTTAACCAACAAAATTAATCCCTATTAAGTTTATTAACCACGACCGTGCATTAATAAACTGAAGTTACTTACTTGTGAAACCATCAACGATTAACCATCGGTTCGTTGATCATTTCTAGTAATAATTAATATATGAAACAAAACTAGTTGATCCTTTAAGTAATGTTCAAAATATTAATATGAAATATGAGTAGGAATTAATTAATATTCAAGGAAGAATATTATTAAAGAAGATGAATCCTACTATAATTAATATCAAGATGTTAACTAATTGTCATCTTAGCAACACTCCCCAACATTAATATAGAGGAAGAAAATACCATTCTAACTAATGTCGATATGTTAACTAATTGTCATCTTAGCAACACTCCCCAACATTAATATAGAGATGGTATTAAGGATAGAACTATTAATTAATATTCAAGGAAAGAAGTTAAGAAAATAACTCACAACTTTAATAATCAACAAGCTTCAAGAGCAACACCAAGAATGGAAGTTTAGCTCCTCATTTGGAGGCTAAACATAGCTAGAAAAATATAAAGAAATGCTATTCTAAACTGAGCTAAAGAGAATGGAAGAAGGGATGATTTTTTGTGAAGAAAAAGTGTGTTATTTATAGGTGTTTTTCAACACCTTTGGCCGGGTACCCGACCGGGTCAAGTACTCACCCGACCGGGTCCGGTCAAAATCAGATATTTTCCCACGTTCTGGTTATCTTCGGCATGTTAAAGTATCCGGGTCAAGTCAGACCCGACCGGGTGGGGTAGGGGACCCGACCGTGTGAGTGCAAAAATTGGATATTCTTCACGTTCGGGTGATCTTTGCACACCGGGTTGTCCCCGGTCACTTCTCACCCGACCGGGTGAGGTAGTGGGCCCGACCGGGCCATGCACTTTCTTTGCATTTTCGTTTTTCACTTCTTACCCGATCGGGTCAAGTGTTATACCCGGTCGGGTATTTGCTCCTGGGCAGCCAAATCTTCTTTTTCTTCACTTCAAAGTCTTCCTTTCCAACACCACAAATCCTAACTAAACTTTACAACTGACAAATAAAGACTAAAATACAATTACAACTAAAATCACACAAATGTTTACAAACCAAATAAAACGTCAAACAATCACCATCAATGAAACATAAAAACATACAATTATGCACTACTAATTAGTGTGCATCAGTAGTCATCGTATCCTGGGAAACGATTGTTGCAACGCTCCTAGCACCGTGGGAGGCAACAAATACGTTTTAAGGAAATCGTGCGTAGCACGAGCTTTGACTAATTCTGCTTCATCACCTTTCTTGTTTTTCTCTAGTCATTTTATTTAATTTATTTATTTTCATTAATTTTCTTTATTTTCCGAAACACACCCAACAATTAAAGCTCACACGCCTAAGCTGCTTTCCTTATTGTAATATGGCTGGCTGAACCACTCCCTATAAATACAGAAGGAGTTGGTCGAAATCAGCTCTAAGTCTCTACACATTCTGTTTCCGCATATTATTCTGGTAGAGCACGTAGATTAGAAATTCTCTCTCTAGTTGTTCGAGTATTGTGTATTGTTCTTCATGGATTCATCATTCTATATACACGGTATACGTTATTGGTGAAATTTATCTTCTACTGTTTTAATTCTTTCTATTATTATTAGATTATTCGACTGTTGAAATCTGGGCATAATTCTCACAATTGGTATCAGAGCCTCCGCGCAATTCTGTTCTTGAGAATCCTCGAATTTTTCTTGAATTAATTTGATCAAAATAACATTTTTTTGTTGAATTAATTTCTTGATCTGTTCTTGGAAACTTACCAATTTTGAAAGGCTAATGGAACAAGGAAACCCACGGAAGACGAATCCCAGTAAAATCAGGTTACCAATTTTCGGTCATCCGAGATCCTAGATTTCAGACATCTGAAATTCAGACATCTCGTAGTACCGAAATCATTTGCTCACAGGTCATCCGAGATCACCATTGTTCGAAGTTTCATATGAGATCCTAGATTTCGGACATCACCCGAAATCATCTAATTTCGGTGGACTGAGATCAACATCCGAAATCCGGATTTCAGGACTGCATCCGAGATCAGCTCTTCTGAAATCCTGCATCGAGATCAGCTCTTCCGAAATCCTGCATTCGAGATCAGCTCCTCCGAATTCTTGCATCCGAGATCCGTTCTTTCGAATTCAACTGATTACCAGATTTTTTCAAGCACAATTCTCGCCTTTAAGTTCAACAACAGTCATGGAAGCTTATACACAAGGAAGTGATTCAAGATCTTCACTGCTAAAGAGGGGAGAATTTATTGTCTGGAAAGTCAGATTCTTAAATTTCAATAGAAGCAAGGACAATGAGAAAAATATTCTCAAGTCTCTAGAAGACCCATTGAGGTCTGGGTCACTGTTGTTGAAGACACAACATCCAATCCCTCCTCAAAGGAATCTGAAAAGTGGGAAGCGTCTGAAAAAAAACCTTAGAGAGAGACGCTCCCAGGATTTCGCGTCCGTACTGGCTATGGCGGCGCAAATGTCACGTGGAACCTTGGATTGAATTCGATTTCGTGGTTTTCTTGGTCGTTCTTCATTCTCAGTTCATTTCCGCACCTGGTTTTGAATTTAGATAAATGAATCGTGGCCAAAAAACCTAAAATCGAACATCAAATTTGCGAGAAATATTGTTCACGTTAATTCTGTATTGCGAGTCGATTTTGAGCTTTAACTTGAAATTTGTTTAGTTTAGCTGCAATTGAAGGAGTGCTGGGTGTTCGCCGGTACTGGGTGACCCCTGTGACTGAGTTTCTTGGAATTTTTGGGATCGCGTTTGGGTTTACCTGTTCGCGTTTTACCTGCTCTGCGACCCCTGTGGCTGGGTTTACCTGCTCTGCGACTTCAACGAAGACAGGTAGGCTACCGAGATGGCAAGGAAGAAGCAAGGAGTAGGGGATTCCTCCACTACGAGAACTACTACGTCGTCTACCAGATTTGTTGTCCTGGACGGGATGGAAGAAGACTTCCCAACCCTGACCTCTGCGAACTGCGTACAGGGGAAACCTGCTGCAAAAAACGCAGGTCCTCCTGGGAAGGCTGCGATGGATGCTGCTGATGCTGGGATGCCTGGGACTGCTGTTGCTAGGACTCCTGGGACTGCAGTAGCTGGGAATCCTGTGATTGTTGCTGATGTTAGGAGGCCTGGGACTGCTGGGTGCACTGGCAGTAACCTTGGCCGAACTCCTATTGAGCATCACGTTTGCACTGCTGGAAAATGGAAAAGCTACAAAGGATGACACTGTGCAGACAATTGCTAAACAGTCCGCTGCCAAGCCTTGGAACGCACTATTCAAAGACAACCGAGAACCCTCTAATGGTCTAAAATTGAGGTATATCCGGCCAAAAGGCAACTCATTAGACTTTGTTGATAGGAATTTCCCCTCCATGATTGAGATGTGGGGATTTTGCCTGGTTAGACTCTTTACCGGAAAACACCCCGGTCTTAAGACCATCTATGAATTGAAAAATACTTGGGGTGTTAGTTGTATTATGAAAACCCATCAAAAGGGGTGGGTTATTTTTAAATTTCACAATGATGAACATAGGCAAAAAGTTTTGAAAGGGGGACCTTATACCATTTTGGTATACAACTAATGTTAAAATCTCTCTCAGAGGATTTTTCATTTGATGATGATGAATTTCTTAAGATCCCCATTTGGGTTAAATTTCCCAATTTACATATGAAGCTTTGGAATGAGGAAGCTATGAGTGAGACTGCTTCCATGGTTGGGGTTCCACTATCCACGGATAAAGTAACCCAAGATAGGAGCAATCATCTCTATGCTAGGGTTTTGATTGAGTTTTATGTCTCCCAACCACCGCCATTATCATTTCCTATTCGACTACCTTCCCGTAAAGTAGTCAATCAAACTGTGGTTTATGAGACCTCTCAAACTTCTGTTTCCATTGCAAAGAATATGGGTACTACCCATTTATTTGTAAGAAACTGGCAACTAAAGAACGGGAAAAGGCTAACGAAGAAAAGGAAGAAAAGAGAGTAATCGAGGACATGGGGACAAAACTTAACGACAAGGAAAAGGAAAAGAAAAAATTACAAATAAAGGGAGATGAGGCTCAAACTAGCACTCCAGAGAAAGAGTTAAGGGCTGAGGAGGAGGGGGAGATACCTCGGGATGATAATGTGATTGCAACTGAGCCAGAAGGGGTACCGATGATTGCATCAAATGATGTGGGGATGATCTCCACACCTGAAGGGACACCGGATGACACGGAAAGTGAGGAGGAGGAAAATGAGGAATCAGACTCTAATAAACCTGTTTTCAGCGAAGATGAGAGGCAAATTATTGATGAATGTAAGATGAGAATTCTGCTCCTTAGAAGGAAGAAGCGACTAGAAGCTGAAGATGTTCAAGAAGAACTTGGCTAGCGACTTTTGTGTTTAATTAATTACTTTTTGGAGGATGTGATGTGATAGATGAATTAATTTCAGTAAGATACTTTATATTTAGGTTAGAGTCCTTCTAACTTAGGTAGCCTTTCTTCTGATCAGGTTTGATACATTGTATAATGATATTTTTGGATATTGTTAATATAATTACCCTTCATCCAAAAAAAAAGGAATCTGAAAAGTGAAGAAGACTATACTGAAGCCGAAAAACTCTGAGCAAAAGCTGATCTTCTAGCTGTCACATATCTGCTCCAAGCCATCCCCAATGACATGTTTATGCAAATTGATAGTCAGCACTGCTAAGGACTTGTGGGATGAAATTCAATAGATTATGCAGGACACTGATGTTGGAATTAAATCCAAAAGAGCTCACACCCTAACTGCTTATGATTTTTTTACTGCTAGATCTGATGAGGAGTTAGAAGACACATATCAATGCTTCCTGATGGTCCTTAATGAGATGAAGAAGATCAACATTCGGAAAACCAACATAGAAGTTAACCTTCGCTTCCTGAGGTCTCTCAAACCTGAATGGAAGAAAATAGCAAAACGAATAAGACAAAATAAAGATCCGGATGAGCTGACCATCCACAATCTCTATGACTATCTAGGAGAATTCTGTGAGAATATTCGTGAAAAGATGAGCCGACTAATAACTGAACAATAGAATTTCATCTCTAGGGGGTGTTTGGAACTGATTCTGCTTCTGCTTCTTTTTTAATGCAGAAGCAGAATCAGAATCAGTTTTCAAAAGCTGGTACCCCCCAGCTTCTAAAAAAACTGATTCTATGAGTAAATTAGAGCACCAGAATCACTTCTGCATTTTCACCCAAACACTCCAACTTCTGCTTCTGCTCCCTCAGGGAGCAGAAGCAGTTTTAAGAATCAGATCCAAACACCCCCCTAATATATAGGTAATATAGTGCTTTTAGGTATAAGATAAACAGACTAATAATTTAGCGCGTGAATTTTCTCTCTAATATATATAGTGTTTTTAGGTATAAGATAAGCTGACTACTAAGTGAGCGGAATAATTTTCTCTCTCTTATAATCTTTTAGGTATGAGAAGATTAGATAAGCTCCGTAATAACTGAGCTGAATAATCTTCTCTCTCATATGTAGTGATTTTAAGTATAAGATAAGATAAGTGGACTAATAAGTGAGCGAGAAAGTTTTCTCTCTCATATGAGTCACATGTAGTGCTTTTAAGTATAAATATATAAGCGAACTAATAATTGAGTACAATGATTTTCTCTCTCATATTTAATGCTTTTAGGTACTTCGTATACGATAAGATATACAAGCTAATAATTGAGTGGAAAATTTTCTTTCTCATACATAGTGCTTTCAGGTATAAGATAAAATAAACGAACTAATAACTGAGCGAGAGAATTTCTTCTATCATATGTAGAGTTTTTTAGGTATAAGAAGATACGCGAGATAATAATTGAGCGGGGGAATTTTCTATCTCATATGTAGGCGTTTTAGGTATGAGATGAGCGTACTAATAAGTGAGAGAATATTTTCTCTCATACATAATGTTTTTGGGTTTAAGATAAGCTGACTAATAAACGAGCGGGAGAAGTTTCTCTCTCATATGTAGTACTTTTAGGCATAAGAAAAACAAACAAATAATTGACATGGAAGATTTTTCTCTCACATATGTTGTATCTTTAAGTATAATAAAACAAGATGGGTGGACTAATAATTGAGCGGGATAATTTTCTCCATCATAGATAATGCTTTTAGGTATAAAAAGATAAATGAACTAATTAGTGAGCGGGATAATTTTCTCTCATATGTAGAGTGCTTTTAAGTATAAAATAAGGGGATTAATAAGTGAATGAAACATTTTTTTATATCATATGTAGTGTTTTTAGGTTTTTGACGAGCACTTTATCACGATGCGTCAAAATAAATTCAATACTAGCACTTATACGTAGTAGAGTTCGTATCCGCAGGGAAAGGAATGATTCTCTTTTTATGAAACTAGTAATTAAAAGGGGGGTTTTGGTTTTGAATGATTTAATTTAATTAAGAAACTAAGATGAACAACTTATATGTGTTTAATTCAAGAATAAAAGGGACTTGGCTTTGCTACTTTCCACTTGCTGATATATTTTAGTTGATCCTTGTTATATCTATAATTTATCCCCTCTCGAATACTCAATCGAGAAGTATCTCCAATTCATCGAGGGTAGTTATTAACAACGACCGTTCATTAATAACCCTTACTATTAATCAAATATAGAACAACGCCGTATACTGATATAATAGTAGCATTCAATCTTTTTTTAACTCCTTGATGAAATCAATTGAGATTGATAACCTTAACACAACAGTTTCGGTTTAACCAACAAAATTGATCCCTCTTTAGTCTATTAACCACAACCGTGCATTAATAAACCGAAGTTACTTACTTGTGAAACCACCAACGATTAACCATCGGTTCGTTGATCGTTTCTAGTAATTATTAATGTCGGAACGTTAACTAATCGTCACTTAGCAACCCTCCAACATTAATATAGAATGAGATTAAGGGAAGAAATAATAATCAAGAGAAGAAGTTAAAAAATAACTCACAACTTTAATAATCAACAAGCTTCAAGAGCAAAACCAAGAATTGGAAGTTTAGCTCCCCTTTTGGAGACTAAACATTCTATAAAAATATAAGAAATGTTATTCTAAACTGAGCTTAGGAGTATATGAGAAGGGATGATTTTTAGAGAAGAAAAAGTGTGTTATTTATAAGTGTTTTTCAACACCTTTGGCCGGGTACCCGACCGGGTCCGGTCAAAATCAGATAATCCGCCACGTTCTGGTGATCTTCACACGTCGTTTTGTCCCGGGTCACATCTGACCCGACCGGGTCAAGTAGGGGACCCGACCGGGTCCAGTGATTTTCTTGGCAATTTCGTCTGTTAAATCATACCCGACCGGGTGGGGGTTTCTACCCGGTCGGGTTTTACTCCTGGGCAGTCAAATTTCTTGTTTTCTTCTCTTCAAAGTCTTCCTTTCCAACACCACAAATCCTAACTATACTTTACAACTTATAAATAAAGACTAAAATACAATTACTACTGAAATCACATAAATGTTTACAAACTAAATAAAACGTCAAACAATCAACATAAATCAAACATAAAAACATGTAACTATGCACTACTAATTAGTGTGCATCAAACACCCCCCACACTTAAACCTTTACTCGTCTCGAGTAAATCAAATCCGGTCCAAGAAATCCTTGAAATGACAAGAATATCAACACACACATCCACGAGTGTTTTTAGAAACACATAATGTATATCCGCAAAAATATAACAGTAAAGAGGGTCTTCAACTCCATGTTTCTTTATCAACCTCAACCTTTCTTTTTTTTCGTTACCCTTAGGATCCTGCAGAAATAAAGAAAATATTTTCTCTCGTTCTCTCGTTTTGCCTAGATGCCCTTTCGGGTTTTTATCCCAGCTTCCCACATTTTTCTGTTTTAATCCTCACAACTCACTCTTAGTTTTGCTTTATTTTTGCTTAAGTTGCCCTTTCGGGTTTTCAACTTAACAAGCTTTTATAATTTTTTTTTACAAGAAGAAAGAGTATGAATGTGAGTATTCCATAAAACTCCCCCCCCCCAAGCTAATCAAAGCACTGTCCCTAGTGCTTGTGTCTGAGATGAATGTGTTTTTTTTTGTTACTTTTTGGGAGGTTTTGTTGGTGATTCGTGGGTGTGGAGATGAAAAGGGTGAAGAGGAGATGAATGAAATGGGTTTAATTGGTGGATGGATGTAGGAGATATGAAGCTTTTGACTTTTGGAAATGGAGGAAATTTGGGGTGTGGTTCGAATGGGAAGACAAAGGGGGGTGGTTCATTTTTTTTGAGAAATAAGTAGTATGTATTGCATAATTTTTATTTTAAAAGTATAAAAATGGAATTTATTGATTAAAAATGATTTAAAATTTTTTAAAAAAAAACTGTTTAGAAAAAACAACCAAACCCGGCTTTTTCCGTGTTTGTCGGGTCCGGGTTTGGACCGGGTTTTTCCGGTTTTTGACCACTTCTGGATTTTTAACTAATCAAACCGGGTTTTGGTCGGGGTCACTGGGTTTCGGGTCGATCCGGCCAGGTCGGGTCGGTTTTTAAACATAGTTCTTAATAGAGTTTGCAAACCAAACATGTACTACCACGTATCTAACAAATAGAGTATCTAATACGGAGTAGACTAATACACATATCTAACAAACAGAGTATCTAATACGGAGTAGACTAATACGATAGTATAACATTCGTCTTCTCAGCTTCGGCAAATTATACCGTGGGATCGGCCCACCTTCCGCATGGTGTGCCGATCCCACTTTTGTCAAGTTACGTTGTTTTCTTTTCTTCATAGAGCTTCTTCCTTCCCTTTTTTTGCTATTCTTTATTTATTTTTCTTTTCTTCAATTCTTCTCCATTTTCATCAAATTAAAATGTTAAAAATTTAATTGCAGTTTTAATTTTTCTTATCTTCAATTTAAATTATAATTGAATCTATTTTTTTATTCTTTATCAATACATAATAAAAAGTTTAATAATCTAAATAAGATAAGTACATTGCATTTCATATTCATACACTATTTTTTGTAATATCTTTTATATTCATATATTTTTTTGTAATTTATTTTTATATGCATACATTCAATATTTTTTATTGAATTTATTATTTTGATTCTAGCTTGGGTTACATTTGATAATATACGAAGTTACATCATCTTATACTCAAGTTACATGTTATTATGCGTGAGTTGCATCTTGTTATGCGTGAGTTACATCTTCTTATGCGCGAGTTACATACTTTTATGCGCGAGTTACATTTAATTATTTGTGATATTTTACTTATCTTTATCTTGAACTAATTAAATTCTAACTGAATTAATTTTTTTCTTTACCAATTTAATTCAAAATTTTATTTATTCACATAAAATAAGAATTTTGTGTGTCATATTCATACACTATTTCTTACTTTGTACATTTTTTTAATGTTTATTATACACTTTTTTTGTAAAATAATTTTTACATTCATGTACTTTTTTCTATAATATATTTCTCATCTCTTTTATATGTTTTTTGTGTTTTATAGACTTTAAGACTGTTTATTTCGATTTAAATTTGAAAAAACATGAG